TTTTTATTTTAAGAGTATAAAAATAAATTGAGATCATGAAGAATTAGTTAAAAAAGAAATAACTTTAACAAAATGGAACCTCGAGTAACTAGAGGAGAGATGGTATTGGCAGAGAATGCTAGAATACAAATAAGAATTTACGAATTGCAACAACAGATTTGTGCTTTAAATGCTGACAGAGATGAATTGGTTCAAGAAAATACACGTTTAAGAAATGGAAATCAAGAACTTGAAACTGATAATAATCAGATTCATGCAGCAAATAAGAATCTAATGCAATTGAATGATGCGTTAAAAATTGTTTTGAGAGACATTGAAGATAAACGTGACCATTATCGTGCAGCAAATATCAAGGAGTTTGAAGATTTTATTTCGAATTATATTTTTGGCTTATTTAACAATATTGGAATATTGTTTCGATTCGATAATCAATACACAACAAATATTGTGAATTTGTTGAGATTTTATAATTTTTTCAATATACCTATTGTGTTCCATTATGTTAAGATAATTTACTGAAAGTTTTTAATACCAATTTTTGTCATCCCATATGTAAATCTCACAACGATGAAGAGAATTAGAGTTGTCGAAGTACTTTTTGTGAATGTTGTCACGGTTTATTGGGGGTTATAGTTAATTTTTTTTGTGTTTGCAAAGTTTGACAAAGACTTTATCATGTTTATTATTTAAAATAACAATTATAATTTTTATTCAACGATTCGGAAACTTGAATCATCGTAAGAACAAATCAAACATCTTTTACTAATCAGTTTAGAAACTGATTAGATTTTTCTTTATTTAATTTTTGCTGTTTCAAAGCTACAAGCCCCCATGGTGTCTGAATGGGGTAGGTGAGGCTAAGCGTCAGTCTGCACGAACACACAGTAGGGAAAACTACTGAAATTAGATGCGATTGCTGATTTGTGCCAGGCAAAATTTGGCTGAAAGTCGGATTTTCATCTTTGATGCGGCCCAGACGAATCGCATCATATACATTTATTTCTTATTCCATAATATATTTATCACAATTCCTAATTTGAAACATATAAAAATTTTATTCTAATTTTTATATTAATCTTAATCTGTAATTTTCACTGATTTAAATTCCTAATCGATACAATTACTGATAAAGTAATTTACTTTATCTACAATGAACTTCTAAATCAAAAATCCATTTTTAGGCAAAAAATTAAAAAAAGTTATTTTGTCAATCCTACATAAAATACTAAACTAAAATTAAAGTAACTATATATCTGTCAATCGCAACATATAAATAATACTTTAAAAATAAAATAACTGCATATTTGCCAATCACAACATATAAATAATACTTTAAAATAAATAACCACGTTATATTCTAAATATTTAACATAAATACTACTTTAAAAAATAAAATAACACGTATATTTTGTTGACTCTAATATAAATATTATATTAAAATTAAACTATTAATTTATATTATACGTAATTCAATTGTAGCAAATTTTTTTATCAATAAAAAATGATGAAAAATCTTCTCTCTCCTCACGATTTATTCGTTTAAAACCTTTTGTATATTCATAAAATTGTTATCCAAACTTTCTATAAAATTCTCTATTTTTTAAAAACAAAACAAAATGTCTAACTACAATTCTGAATCTGAGGATGGTTTGCATTTTTTACAGCGAACCATTACTAAAGAATATGTAAACACAAATCTTAAATTTAAAACACTTGAAGATGCAATTTCATTTTATCGAAATTGTTTATTTCTTTTATTTGTTTTATTTATAATAGTCATCTTTATTAGTGGCTATTATATATTTTA